CCCCATCGGGGCACGGGGAAAAAATATTAAAAATAAAAATTAAAAAATCCCTTTGGCCGCAGCGTCCCTCCTGGATGTGCTAGTCTGCAATTAAAGCCGGGCTCGGTTTGTTTCTCTTCGTTTTGGCAAAGGGCGGGGGAATTTTTGGGCCTCCATCCTCATCGCGCACCCGGACCCCCAACTCCCCGGCCGGTGCGGCATCGCCCGGCGCCTCGGCCCCAGCCCCACAGCCCTTCCCGGCCCCGCTCCGAGGTTTTTCCTCTGTCATTTCTTGCCGTTCTCATTATTTTTATTTTTTTTCCCAGACGATAGAAAATATCAAAGTCTATCTCCATGAGAAGGAGCTATGGAAGAAGTTTCATGAAGCTGGCACCGAAATGATAATAACCAAAGCAGGCAGGTCAGTGAAAATTCCCCGCGGTCACGTCTGGCTTCGGCTCCGTGCGAAACGTCCCTGTTTGCCGAGACTGGGCTTTGCAGAGCTGCTGCGATCAGTGGCGTTTCAAAAAATTATCGTTGTGATTGCAGATTTCAGTGAGATCATTTTTTTTCGGTGTAAACTGTGCGTGTGTTTGAGCGTGGCAACGAGATTGTGGATGCAGGAAAGAGTTGCGGAGTCATTTGGTAAATTTAGTCCCAGTTCTCTGTGGTAACTGTGAACGTGATTATTTAGTTGGTTGGGGTTTTTTTAAGGTGATAGTAGGATTGTGGCTCTACTTTTCACCCCCGCCAAAGCAAACCTCACTCCCTTCTTGCACAGTGCAGTAAGACTTGTGCTCACGCTTTGGGCCGAGGTTTTAGCAATACGGAGGCTTAGGTTGTGCTTTTAATCTCGAAACGGGAAGAGAGAGAGGTACTGCTTTTATCCTGTTCGGTGTGGAAAAAAGTTCTGCCTTCCCTTGGAAATCAGCAATGATTTTTTTTCCCAAATCAGAGCCCGGGCGGAGGGTGCCCAGGGGCTTCGCTGCCCCAGAGACCCCATCCCTTCCCACCCGGGCTGCCCAGGTGGGAGAAGGCAGAGTTAATGCCAGAAAATTAACCAGCAGAACCCAACCCCGGGCCGCCCCCGG